GGACTTGAGCGGGAGTCTTATAAAGTTGTTAATGCGAACTTTGAAGCCAGAACACATGGGCTCAAATCCCAGCTCTTCCACTGCCTAGCTGTTATCTGCTTGATACATTACCTATCCTCTCTGTGACCCAGTTTCTTCATTTGCACAAGGGGATCTTAATATTAATAGTACTTAACTCATCAGTACTTTTTTTTTTTTTTACAATACAGGATTATCATATGTAAAGTATGTAGGACAGTGTCTCACATACAGTAAGAGCTATATAAATATTTGCTATTTTTAGAAACTAGGTTAAATAAAACACATTTGTCTCTAATAAAAATATCTTTTCATTTGTTTATTTTTGCGGAGTTATATAATCTTGGAAAAGTAGATTTCAATCATTGAGTTTAGTTTCATCCTCTGAAGCTTTATTGTTGTCTTTGAAACATCCCTATCAGAGTTAGAGCATCTGATCTTCCTAAAATAATCATGTTAATCTCCTTATACCAATGCAATCTGTAATACTGAATACAAAAATATTAAAATCACAAAGCTGAGATATCAGTTGGCAACAGCTGGTGCCATTGCTAGGGAATAAGATGCAGTCAGTGGAATGGGTAAAGAATTAATTGGTGCGTCAAAAATGTTAACAAATAACATTATTTTGTGTCATCTTCTGGTTTTTAAAGGCTACATATCATGAGTAGGAGGTTGTCTGATAAAAATTCATTTTATACTCTACCTCCTTTTATCATTCTAGCTGTGACTCTGCCCTTCAGCTCTCCCTTTGCTTTTAGATGAGTTCTGTTTCCACGTAACAGACAGAATCACCTACTGTGCTTTTGAAATCTTTATGTACACAAATTTCATTGAGACCCTTGATAATAGATGCCTATCTTATTCAATATTGAATTCAGAGTCTGTTCCATTTGATTCTTTATGTTTTATGGTGAGTGCTGCCTTTCTCTGCCCAGTACTCAATAACCATTGATAGCAGCACCAGTGTGACACGAGGAAAAAAATTGCACTTGAGAATTTTACAGATCGGTTTTTGGGAGCCTATTATAATGCGATGCCCTTAAAAACATTGAACTCTGTCACAGGCAGACATGAGTTACATGGGCCCACCCAATGGCTATAAAAGTAGAAGCTTGACAAATGCAGTACTTCTCAATTGCATTTTATCATATGTGGGGTAAAACACAGTTGTTACATATCCATCAAACTGAGCACAAAACCGAACAGAACAAACTATTAATTATCCCTTCAACTTAGCCTCGAAAAATAAAAGCAGCATTTATTAAGGACCTACCATGTGCTAAGTGTTTTTACAACATATGATCCTCAGAACAACCCTTCAAAATAATGATTATGTATACCTATTTTAAGGGAAGCCTAAGTAACTTCCTCAAGATTATGCAAAAAATGCCACCTATTTCCTGACTCTTCGAAACTCCACATCTCTGGAGTCTTGAGCGCCTGCAGTAGAATCAGGCGTCTCTGGGAACTGCTCCTTTCACATCTGCTATATTCTTCTATAATGGCGCTCAATATTCACATCAACTTGCAATTGGCTCCATTACTCCCCCACGCCCTTCCTGACCATAGCTGATTGAACCAGGGACATGTAGCCGAATCAGTGGTCATTAAATTCCTTCCCAGAAGTTGTAGTTAGGGTTAGTTTGTTAGGCAGAAATACTGAAAAATTTTAATGTATTGCTTAATGCCTAAAAATAATATTTTTGTAACAGGTAACATATGTGATGATTATAAATCATAGTAATAAGTGGAACGCTACACTGATGTGCCCAGAACTTCTGTAATCCCATGTCCCATCCCAGAGTTAAACATTTTCCTGAATATTGTGTTTAATATTCTCTTCCATTTAAAAAAAAAAGTTTGCATATTCATAGGCTCATAGGTTTAGTCTTACATGTTTATAGATGTTTAATACTATTTGTTGAGCAATTAGTGTATTTCTAAGCCATTTCTTTCTTCAGGTTTGTCTTTTCTCTGTGTGATGTTATACCAGCAAAATGGGAGAAAACCTCTTTGTAATAAATTTCTCAGCTCAGTAAATGGTGCTACCTCCTAGCCACTTAGTTAAGGCAAGTGTGAAACAGCCCTGATGCCTCCTTTTCCCTGTCCCCACTTCCAGCACATCTGCTCAAGTCATGCCTTCCAATATATACCAATACTGACCACTTCTCTCCATCTCCACTGTCACCATGCTGTCTCAGACATACTGCTCCCTTGATTTTTTTTTTTTTTGGAAACAGTCACATCATGTTATTTCCATGCTTTAAACAATACATGGCTTCCCATTGTACTTAGAACAAAACCCATTTTTCTTCCCATGGCCTGCAATGGTCTCTGGCTAACCTTGATTTATCTCCTGCTTGTTCATGACACTCCTTGTACCCTGGGGCTTTAGTGCTAGCTGTTTCCTCTACCCTCAGCACTTGCCCCCAATACCATGGCATGGCTAGATCTTTTGAAACATCAAATGTCACCACAGAGGCTGTTTCTGACTCCAACTGAAGTAGCAGCTCTTTCTTCCTTCACACTTATCACATTCAGCCTGTTGATCTGTTTATTGTCAGTCACCTTTCTCTTATAACACAAGTTCCATAAGGGCAGGGATTGTGATTTTGTTAAGAAAAAAAATTATTCTGAAACTTGTTACAATGGTAGAAAGACTTTTTATTCAAGATTATTGCTTAAGATTATTGCAATAGGGAAGAAGGAGAAGAGATATTGGGCTCAACCCTGAATACAGCCAGGACAAGTGGGGATTTATAGCCAACCAATGGAGTGATGGGTCAGTGAATGGAAAATTACTAAGAGCAAAAATCAAGGGTAGGAGGATTCTTGCTACACTGACTTAACAGGATTCTTGCTAAAGGCAGGCCAAAGATATCAAAGGTGGCAGATGAGGAACTTGATCAGATATCAAAGATGGGGGAATACTCTCTAAAGTGACTTAGCAAGATTCTTGTTAAAACAGGACTAGACAGGCCAGACAGGACAGGATGGCGATCAAGGTTAAGGCCAAGTCAAAAAGAGGGCTCAGGGGAGCCTGATTAAATTTTGGTCAAGGACAGTCTTTGTCAACTTCTTGTTCTTTTTTATATCCTTGTATAATACTATCTAATAGTAATATAATACATTATGTTATATAGTATTATGTATATAATTATGTATATATTATTTTGTAATAGTATTACAAATTCAAGACAAATATAAATGTATTACATTTCTAGTAGCCACATTAGAAAAGTAAAAAGATATAGATGAAACTAACTTTAATAATATATTTTATTTAATCCCATATGAAAAATTTTATTTCAATATATAATCCACAGAAAAATTATAAATGAGTATTTTACATTTTTTTGTACTATCAAAAACCCAAGTATTTTACACTCATAGCATATTTCAGACTAGTTCAGACTAGTCATATTTTAAGGACTCAAAACTACATGTGGCTCATAGCTACTGTATTGAACAGTGCAAGTCTAAAAGCTAGAAGAGTGACTACACACAATGTATACAGTAAATGTTTGTTGAGTAAATGGATGAACAAATGAGTGAATTAAGAATAAAAACTATTCACAGAACTGGCAGTTTTCTTTTCCCAAGTGTTCAGAATATGTTGGTGCCAAGTTTTATTTCAGAGACCTGTATAAATAGAGTACGTGTTGTTGATTTGGGAAAAAATAGATATTGCAAATAATAAGAGAATATCACATCTCAAATATGATTTAATTTTTCACTCATCCTTGTCCTATAAATACTCCAAGGTAGTGATGAAAGAAACATAGCTATAGTTCATCCACAAAGATACTAGGCAATTACAAAGGTTTTATGTGCCGATGAGATGCTGTTTTCATCCATTAAAATTTTCCTTCTTAAAGTGTAAGACTACACTTTTCACATACTGTCTGAAAGGTACCCAGTTTTCTTTTGTTCCTTTAACTTCACCGTTGGCTTCTATACTGAGTCCCTATGGGTGCCGGCATTTGGCACTATTTATTCACTACGAAATGTCAGAGCAGTGAAAGCTGGATTCTTCAGCAAGGAACAACAGCAGTAAGACACCCAGATGGGGCACTGTGAGGCTTCAGAGTATTTTCTCTCTTTCATTATTGTTCTTCCCTTGTTCCATGTGTTAAATTAAGGACAAGGAAAGATATTTTTTTCCTATTTATCACACAGTCGGGATGTGTCTATCTGACTTTCTTTCTATTTACACTATGAATGCATGCAGCTGTGGAACCGATCTCCTCCAGTGAAATCTGTCGTGCTCTTCTAAAATCTGTCATTTCTGAGTCGGATCAACTGAATACCCACTAAAACACCCAGGAGTTTAGAAGATTCGTGAATGTATTTACCTGATATGCTATGTCTTATATACTTTCATTTTATATCTTTATAAGTCCAGGTTAAAAAAAAAAAAGATAAGAATTAGAGAAATAAAACATACTTTAAAACAGAAAGAGACTACATTTTAGTTCCAGCTTGGTGAGTGATAGGAAAATCATACATCTTTCATTTCTTTTTCACCCACAGTTAGATTTCTTGATAGAGACACAAAAATGTTTTTGATTTAAATCTTGAATTTTGGGGGCAAGCCTTTTAAAGGCCAAATCAATGCTACATCAGAGGTATTTACAACATCCACAAATTTAATCCAAAGTGGATACTTCGAAGCTCATATAGATCTAAATCATGTTCTCCCAGATGGTGAATTAATGTAATTTTAGCAGGAAGCAAAGTTGCACAAATATGCAGTATTGAGGACTCACACTGATTGAATGTGTCTGTACCCACCACAGCACAGATGTTGTTTGTCATTTTAGTGCCAGTTGTCTCTGTTTCTCTCTATACGACACACTAAAGAATGGGATTTGGGAGTTCAGTAAATTATGATTTATTTTGTGACTAATGGCCTGTTAGAAATTGAAGCTTTCTGTGAACTGTGTGCAGAAATCACATTGGTTGTATTTTTTGTGCAGGGTTTGAAAGGTGACTCGGGTCCTCATGGTCCACCTGGCCTAAAAGGAGAAAAGGTAACATACATGCGTATGCACCCAGAAAAGTGCCCATCTTTTCTTAAGAAAACCCTGGGAAACTATGCCGTGACTTTTCATGGAGACTGTCTAACTGCCAAAAGTTAATTTTGTTAAAATTAACCAAAGGCTATTATGCTAAAAGCATCTGAGCAAGAAAAGCCTTCTTGGTTCATTTAATTAGTTTGAAGAGACTAAGTGCACAATTGCTAGTCAACATGAATTTGTGTTTATAAGATTTCCCTTTTCTCTCCCTTGCTTAACAGCGTTAGGTATTCCATCACCAAATTAACAAGCGTGTCCTGTATCGGGGAACCTTGCCAGTAGCACTGAGCTGCTACTGTAATGGTGAAGCTGGTGGCCTTTGGGGAAAAGGGGCCTAACTTCGTATTCATTCTTAGTCTGAATGCTCCATTTCCTGCCACCTTTTCTCATATGTCATTTTATAATGGCATATTGGCAATTGACCTTGAAAAGAGAATTAAGAAATAGTAAAAGCAAGAGTCCTTTGGCGTAAGGTCATCGGATGGTCCCAATTTGATGAGAATTGTATGTGTGGGTGTTTGGCACTGTATTTTGTTCTCCACCCTCAGCACGTTTAGAAATCCTTGTCTGTCTTCAATGTTTATCTCTGCATTAAAGCTGGTCTTGCAAATCTGTCCTCAGTGAGTGATTTAAGTTACATCAATGTTCCTTTACAATCATTGGTTATTTTTATGAAGTTGTTCCAAAAATAATGATTACACAATGCTAAGTCTTAACTGTTGAGGTCACTATATTAGATGAGAAAAGAGAAAGCTATAGAGATACTTTCAACAGGAGCATACGGCATCCCAGTGCCTTTGCCACATTTTTTATGGTTTCCAGAAACGTCCACCTAAACAAAGATTATAGCGGTGAAGCTTGGTCTTAATGACTAAAGAGTCCTTGTGAATTAAATAGGGGTGCTGATTCATAGGCATATAGGCAACATATTTATAAATCCGCAAATAGTGAACTTTTAGATGAACGATTTTTCAAATATTTTGAATACTTTGTCAGTATATCCACCTGGCAATTTGTATTCACATAGGTCAGCAAAGCAATTTTAGTATTTACAACTACATAAATGTAGGCAAAGCCTCTTACAATTGATGGCAAGTGCAATGCCGATTCAGCAGAGCTTTAGAGGAGGCAATGCGACCACTTCTTGCAGCTGGGAGGCACGAAGTGGGGACATCCATTTATTATTTCTGCTGATCCTCACACTAACTTTTCCAGAAAAATTATCTGTCGTTGTGGCACTTCACAGCTGCTCCATTGGCAAGTAACCATATTTGAAGAGATATTCTTTCTAATTTTGGATTAGTAGACAAAAGAATAGAAATCAGATTATTTTAGCTTTTCAAAACAAGTTCTGCAAAAAGCATTTGGGTGCACAAGGTAATATATTTACATCATGAGAGCTAAAAGCACATGGTATGTGCAGAAACTTTTATCAAGATAAAATTCTATTTTTCTTTCCTTCAAGATTTATCTAGATATTGCTTCTACCCATTCATGAAATTTAGAAATAACATGTTCAAGAGGGGACTACTGGTAATTGCAACTTTTTTTTTAATCTATTGTAGGGAGATACGGGACCTCCAGGACCCCCAGCCTTAACTGTAAGTATTCTTGAAATCAAAATTCAAAATTGAAATACGCTACCCTATTTATTATTTACACTGCATCATGACTAAACCAGAATTTAAGCCATAGCGTATTTTGAGAATTGAAAGTGACCTTAGAGTAGATCTAGCCAAACCTCCGAATGTTCAAAATGGGGCATGTACTCACAATAGTGAAGTACTTAACCTGAGGTTTACAGGTAGTTACTAGAAAAAGCTGAGCAATTTTCTCTACCCTCCATATGGTTCATAACTTTTTCCTTTTAATGTTTGATTATACATTCTTAACATGACTTTTAAAGTTAATGGGAACAGAGGCAGTTCTACTTATTCTAAAAGTTAACAGAACAAAATAAATTATAATCACCCAGCAGGTAAAAACAGCTACCTATTTTAGCTGATTGTTACATTCCCCCAAATCTGACAATTCCCCCAAAACAAAACCATTGTTTGTCTTCTATGCAATTTGCTTCTAAAATTTGCAAACCATAAAATGTCAATATTGCAGTAACAGATTTATGAGAAAAGCTTATAATGTGCACATAATGGGATTCTTCTCATTTAAATGGTTCTTCATTTATTAAGCATTTAATCATAAGTATGTAATGCTTTTATATTTAGATACAATTTACTGGTATAGGCTTTCTTCATAGGCCATTAAGGATTCTCATTTAACTTAAAGATTTGGTTTAAGAATGACTCTAAGCCTAATGCAAAAGAAAGTTTTTTTAAAATAAGATCATCTGTAGCCTGAGGTCTCTCAAATTTAATGTTGATATTTTCTAATAATATAAATTAAGAATTTACATCATAGGTTTTCAAAGACCTGTCCTGATTGTAGGTCAGGTGTAAAGAAGTCTTCTAACATCTGGACAGAGCCCTTCCCAACAGAGGCAGTACAGGAATCTCATAGGCTGTGTGGCTTTGATAACGTTTGTATCTATCATTGGACTTGAAAATGTCATTCTGACATTTTAACATTATAAACCTTAATAATGTCTCACACAAGTAATCTTTTCAATGATTACTCAAGCAACAAATATTTCTTTATAAATGGAAAATCTAAGGAACCAAACAGATGACTTACTTAGGAATACCCAAATTCTATTTGTATTGGAATTCAGTCCTTGAAGATTCTGTTTTCAAGATGGAAATAAAAACTCTGTATTTGAGAGGAGGTTTTATCTGCATTTTATTCAACTTGTTTGTAGTATGTGGAGTTTACTTTAAAAATTGTTTGGCAGTGATGTAGATTAAGGTTGCTCATTTTACTTAAGTCACATCCTTTTTCTTCAATTAAGTTATATGCTCAACCACTTCATTCAGTTATCTTATTTCCTAGTGGTTTTCAACTTGTGTTTGAAGACAAAATGCAATCTATGTGTATCATTTCACCGTATATGCAGTCTTGGCATGGCAGCCAGAAAATTTTATTAGACTATATCTATTTTGTAGATTTTTAATGACAGCTGTGGTCTTCCTTCCAAGTAGCACCCTGTAGCTGTCTTTTTGTACTCTTCAGCTGACAGATACTGAGGAAGTACAAGCAAAATTTTTTACTTATATAAAGATATGTCAAGGCAAAAAGACTGTGAAATGAAGTGTTCTATTTCATGAAGTAAAATATTAATATTAATATTATTTAGGTGTAACTATATACTTATTACTTTATTGATGTAGATAATCACCTATTAACTATGAAATGGGAAAAAACTGAAATGAATGCCAACTTAACATGCATAAAATATTTAATTGACCTTATAATGCAGATTGATACATTTTAATGAAGTGATTGATAACAGTCTTCAAGGATGCAAAAATGAATGACCCCGCTATATGTGAATGAAATGAGGCACTGATATATAGGAATTGATAAACTGAGAGTCCACACATAGTGGTTCTAGCTGCACACTAAACTCCATTAGGGATTTTTAAAATATACCCATGTGTGCCTCCACCCCCACAAATTATAATTCAGTAGATATGATGTGGAACCAGTGTTTATAAAAAGCGCTCCAGGTAGTTCTAAATATTCAGCTGGAGTTGAAAGCCACTGTTTATGGGAACTGTAATGGAATAAGCTCTTTTTCTACTTGTAAAATTTCTTTAAACTTTTGAAGAAGTCTAGCTTTGATCTCAAATCCAACTCAATGCATGGTAATAAAAGAAAGAATCTCTTTTGTTTAGGGAGGCATAGTAGTAAAACTAAATTAAGATTGAAGCCTGCTTAGTTAAGTGGAGGAGATTAGGGCTAGGAAGTTACCTTTAATTATACCCTTAACGTAGCCACACAAGGACTCCTATGGGCTCAGGTGCCTTAATGCTTCTCAAAATTTACTGTGCAGAGGAACATTGTTCAAATGCATATTTTACTCCTAAGGTCTGAGGTGAGAGCTTGAGATTCTCCATTTGTAACTAGAGGATGCAGATGCAGCTAGTCCTCGGACCACACTTTGGGTCACAAGGGTTTAGCACCCAGTCCCCAGTTGTGCTGCAGACTCTCTGCTCTGTTCCAGAGATCAGTGCTTCACCTGTACTGCTCATTAGAATCACTGTGGTGCTTTAAAAGCTCTACTTCCCAGGCTGCACCATATACTGATCAAGTCAGAATCTCTGGCCATTTGAAATTTATCCCAAGTGATTCCATCATGTAGCCACGTTTGAGAACTAATGTCCTGAAAGCATGTTGAATACTTTTTTCCACAGCTTCCTGGTTCAGAGCTTGAGCAAACATTTTAGAATTACTCGTTACATCAGTATTTGTATCAAAAACACCCAACCTGATTGCTTCCTGAAGCTTCCAGATAATGTCGGACTCTATCAATAACTGTGATTTGGTTCCTGATTACTTGGTGATAGAGAATGAGCTTCCATCTCCACATTTACAACCCACTAGCAAGCCCATCAACAATCTTTTCTTGAGCCAGGTCACAAACATTAGCCAGCCCAGTCCAAAGACTTCCTAAGACTGTCTAAGCATACAGAGCTGAACTGCCCAAATAAATAAGGGGGGGAAATGCTGAACACTTTTTTCCCTCTAAAATATACATACTGTATTTATTTTACTTATATTTGTATTTTGCTTAATAATAAATTGAGAGGAATAGTTATTGAGCTCATTGAAATGTTGAGTTTACTGATGCAGAGCAATCCTTTTGATGCAGAAGATTTTTGTGAAGGATCATGTTTATCACTATTATTTTTATGTCCCTGTGGATGACCATGCTTTGGTTATTATTTTAAATTTTAAAAATAATATAGAACCATTTCATTGTAAAAAATACAATACTATCCATCTGCTTTAAATAAATGTTACTTTGGTTTTTACTCTTACTCTTATAACTGATTGCC